AGTCTCTAAGACAATTGTCGGCTTTGTGGAACCACATGTGTACTATCCTCTCCAAGCTGTTGGGCAGTTTTTCCACTCCCAATGCATACAGTCGATGCTGCCTATCATTCCTGGAAACCCGCGTGCTTCTCCAACATCGAGTAATTTTTGAAGATCTTCTGGTGTAGGTCTTCTTAAATACTCATCTCCAAACAAGTCTATTATCGCTTCCGTGAAATGATCCAAACACAAAAGTGCAGTACTTGCCGCAAGTCGAAGATATTCGTCATATGAATCTGCTGCTTGACCATATGCGAGCATCCGGATAGCTGAAGTACATTTTTGTAGAGGAGATAGCCCGAACCGTCCGTGACCATTTCTTCGTTGCTGAAAGTAAGGAACTTCATTACTTAGGTGATCGACAATGCGAAGAAACAAAGGCTTGTTCATTCGAAAACGCCACCTAAACATTTCGGGTGGGTATGTAGGATTTTCGTTAAAATAGTCTTGCCATAATTACATGTGTCCTTGTTCCCGATCTCTTTCGATATAGGCTCGTCTTTTTCGCTGGTGTGCTTGAACATCAACAACAGAGTCGATGAAATCATCGATTTGTTGGTCAACCATATCTTCAAAAACTCCATATTCTTCATCATTTGAAGAGCTTGACATTATGGTTCCTGAAAAAAATATCCAAAATCATATATAAATTTCAGTATACACAATTTTTTAGAATTTTTTTTTAAAAAATGGAACATGATAATTAAACATGATTATAATGAATTTTTGTATCACTTAGGAGCATATAAAGAAAAACTCCATATTGTAAATTTTTTTTTTGGTTTATGGTTCCTGAAAAAATATCCAAAATTCATATATAAATTTCAGTATATACAATTTTTTAGAAAAATTGTTTGAGAAAAGGAAAATGACAATTCAAAATGATTATAATGAGTCTCACTTAGGATTAAAAAAACCTCCAAATGGTCACATTTACAGCAAAATAAATAAGGGAAAATTAAGTAAATTAAACAATTTTACAATTTGGGAACATGGAACATGGAACTTTGGAAGATATGGTCACATTTCTATAAGTGCAACGAACTTGCACTTACCTTGTGTTGCTTGTGATTCTTGTGTTGCATTTGTGTTGCTTGTGATTCTTGTGTAATGACAGAGAGGAAAACAACAGTTTTGATTTACAAGATGTGGTGTTTACAAGTTGGATACAAATATAAAGACAGAGAGGAAAACAAGAACTTCAGTTTTCATTTAAGTAGCATACATGAAGTGAGCATATTTATATATGCTTTTTTGAAAAACTCGTGATGAGTTAAAGTACAACCCGTGAACCCAAAGTACTACAGACATAACAGTGTAGAAACCAACAAAATACTTCACTGCTTCCGTGAAACAACAGCAACAACAGACATAAAACTACAACAATGATAAAGCAGCAACAGAGATAAAGCAGCAACAGAGAGCAACCCGTGATCAAGCCTTCATGTCATGCCTGTGACGTACAATAGAAAAACAAAACAAGTCAGTAATTGAGTCAACTAAATAATTAAAACAAAACAGATTCAAGCAAGCAAGTTAACCAAATTTAATCAACCATTTCGGAAATCAATTTGTTTTTCAGAGTGATTTCATTAGGAGATAACTCAGTGTCTTTCTTGGCTAGGAGACACTCTAGGAGTTTTTCTTCTGATATTTTCTATTTGGCAGCGAGGATCCTCTCAGTCTGATCAAAAGTTGCTTCATTGTCGTGCTTCTTGCGTTTGGCTGCTTTGCAAGCCTTAACACCAGGCGGCCTCACCTCCTCCTCAGGCATCACCTCCTCTGTTTCCTTCCTTTTCTCCTTCGCAGTATCTCTAGACTTTGACAACGACTTCCATTTCTGATCATATCGCAGCTCACTCCAGCAGTGTTCCATGGTGAACTTGACCTGGTGATCGTTGAAGAAGATGTCATGAGCAGCATTCATGACATCATTCTCATTGTGACCACTTCATGTGTCCTTCTGAGCCGCCTCCTAACACCCCACAAACTTGCACACCTGCTCGTTAGTCATCCCCCACCTCTGCTTGCACTGACTCCACTCTCTGGGAAGGCAGCCAGTGAGCTGAGGGCTCGAGTTGAAGTACTCCTCTATTCTCTTCCAAAAGCAACCTCCCTTCTGCTCGTTACTAACGATAGGATCCTTGCTTATGTTAAACCACCCACTGATGAGCACAAGGTCTTCCTTTGTTGACCACTTTCTCTTGGTCAAGGGTTTAGCTAACCCGGGAGAGTGACCTACTGCCTCAGCATAGTCCAAGTCTATTGTTGGACTGCTTTGCGAAGCTAGTAGGTCAATAAACCCGGGTTGTTGTTGGGAAAAAGGATCCATTTTCGTTTTGGTTAAGGTTGGTGTTTTAAGTTAATTTGTTAAGTTTATTGGGTTGTTTTTAAACTAGTTTTAGCTTTGGTAGGAGAGAACAATTAAACTCTACCTACCAAACATTCATTATCGAACTTATTACACAACAACTACTCTACAGATAACAGTCATTAGACATCAAATCGAGTACTTAATACTAGCAACTACTTAATAAATTCAAGTACTTAATACTAGCAAAGCAACCAACAAACTTACTAATAATTAATTCCAGTGTACTTTTCGTTATAGGTCTAGTTAACCTAATTAAAAAATTGCCAAGTAATTATTTTCAGTGTATAACTAGTTCAGAAAACACTTTAATTTTTTTTTTCAAACCGAAACTAGTTCTGTTGTAGTCTTAATTTTATTTGGAAATTACCTTCTTTTATCACTCATAGCAGATCTTCTCCAGGTTAGCGACATCGACAGTGAGGCTTCTAACCTGTTCATGGCCATGAAAACAACAATAACACAGTGTTAGAGCATGTATCTCTACATAAGTATAATGAAAGAGAGATGAAAAAGCAAGGAAAAAAACAGTTACCTCCAGTCTCTCAATCCGTTTACTGATACTCCACACCCCTTCGATCACCTGCTCAGCCTCCTCCACACGCTGACTCAGCCTTTGGATCTCCTCCTGGACAGCAACCAACCAAGGATGACGATAATGCAATCCATCATCCTTGATGAGAACAGGAAAACATATTAGAGAAAGTTAGAGGAGCATTATTATTAACAACAAAATTCAGTAGAGAGAGTTCGAGGACCATTACCTCATAGTTCACGCAGGTGAAGAACCGCTTTCCCGGATGTGTGTCATACACTTCCTTCCCCCGAACCTCTTGAATGATTCTACCACCGCAAGCACACATCTTTGGAATACCGTATTGTGAATCGGCGACGAACCCTAACATGTCGTAGTTCTCCTTTTGCTTCTTTGCATTTCTTCTCTCATCTGAAGGATCCATCTGCACCAGAAACTAAAATGATTACAACAAAATTAAATAAACAATATCACTCAACAAAATTAAACGAACACTTAACAGAGACAGTTCTTATGATCAGGAAATAAATTCAGGGTTTTCAAGGCCTTGTGATCAGATTTTAAATTAAACAGTTCTTTAATAAAATCATTCAACCAATTAAATGTTTTTACAATTCTTAAAAACCAGATTCAAAAAATTTATAACAGAATCATTCAAAGGGTTTTAATAATTCTTAAAACCAGATTTAAAAAATTTTCATGCAATCAATCTTTAAAAACAGTTAGGTTTAAACTTTTAAGATTTCGGTGTAAGGTTTCAATTCCCATACAAAAGAACCCTAAATCAAACCGATTTACGATTTCGAATCCTTTATCGAAAAACCCAAAACGATAAAATCACATATATACGAACCCTAAATCAAACCACCATGACGAGAAACAACCCTAAATCGAAACCCCTTATCGATTAAGACCCCTATCAAAGTAAACCCAAATCGATTTTAGATCCGACACTCGAAACCCTAAATCGACATAAATCTTGTCAATTGAATCGTGAATCTACTCGACAACGCACCTGAGATCAATGAGGAGGTACTCCGTCGTCGATTTGATGGAGATTTTTGGACTGGATCGGCGTCGCACGAAAAATCGCCTCTCGAGACGAAAACCTAGTTTTCTAGAAAAGAAGAGGAAATGACGAGAATCACGAGAGATGCCTTCTTTCTTCCTCGACAACGCGCGCCCAAGAAGCCACTCCCTCCTCGCCACATGTTTTGAACTCGAGACATATGGGATCTCTTCCGCGGCCCGGTTCATCAATTATTACCCATTTTTCATTTAAATTTACCCCTAAACCCCAATGAATCCCAATCCATGAACCCCTAAAGAATCTTCAATATATATGCTCTAAAAGACCAAAAAACCATCCAATGTTTCCTCTGAAAAGACGATCGGTCAAATGGTTTGTACCCTCCGTAAAAAGAACTATAACGAAAAAAATAATTAAATAGACCTTTAGACACATATATAGTCTCACAAACTTACACAGAAAAGGGATATTGTATATACATCATTTATTTGATGAAGCCTATCTCATCTGATAATTTTATTTTCTTCCCCAATAATTCTGCTACGCAGTTATCACCTAGTGCTTCAGTTCCATCACATATGTTGTCGTTTGATTTAAATCGTTGGGAAGAAGGATGATTCGATTGGTGGATGTGAATCAAGTTAACATTGAAATGACAACATTTAGAAATAATCACCTCGTGATAAGATCTTGGGGGTTTTACCTTGATTTAAGAGACATATGAAAAGGAGAAAACATCTAGAAAGAGATCAGAAAGTAACTATTAAGATGAAGTTTCATTAACTTAATTGGAAAATATGATATGCAAAGTCCAGAAGTCACATAATCGAATAATAATTAAATTGAAACTAATATTATAAACTTATGAAAAGAAGTCACATAACCTCTTGATAGTTTTTTGAAAACAGGAAAACTTAAGATAAGAGTGTACATATGTATCCATAATTTAATCTTATGTGAAAATTAAAATGTTTTGATTAGCTTTTGATGACACAAAAGAATAACTGATGGTTTCACAAATAGATGGAAAGACAATTATGTTATTGTAGTGTTGATTTATCAACTTTCACATGCCACACGGCCCATACCCTAAACTAATAAATCATCCAAGGAGGGAAAAAGACTGAAGAAAAGAATTTGCATTTGGTATAAATATATATCTTTTGGTCTCAATGATTTACCATATTAGTTTATTATAATATATCCAACAATTTATACGAACTGCAACAATAATGTAAAGGGAGCATAGAAAGAACATAATAAGAGCAATTGGTCAAAAAGAATTTAAATAGTACAAAAAAAACAAATTAGTTAAAGTCTCTGACAGAAAGATGAGGTTCTCTCTGATCAACGCCGGTGCGTTCGAACACCAAACTCCTCCTCGATGGCCTCAGTGACAACACACCGTGACGCCTCCATCAACTCAGGGCTAAGCCTAAACATGAGCACACAAAACTCCATCTGACTCAACGCACCGTCTTGGTCGAAATCCCCTTCGTTGATCATACACCTTACATCTTCATCAGTCAAGTCTCCTAGTCCAAGAACCGTCGACGCGTTTCGCCGTAAGCTCTGGAAAGTGATGACACCTTTGTCTCTGTCCATGAGTAGCTCGAAGCCTTTGCAGAGCTCGTCGATGAGACCTTCTCCTCCGAGTTTTCCGGCCATCGCCGGGAAGAAGTCGTGGAAAGTGGGTTCTTGGTTTTGATGGGTTTTAGGAGACGCCATTAGAGAGAGAAAGTGATGGTTTTGAGAGATGGGTTTTTGTGTTGTGAGGTTGGTGATGATGATGAAATGAGAGTTTGATTTTTTATTTATATAAGAAGGGAGATAAGTTTGGGAGTTCCGAGAAGGAACATCCATGGAAGACAACTAAGGTACAGATTGTTTTGGTTTGGTTTCTTCTTGGAAGGCCACTTTAAGGTTATAAATGTCTTTTCGGTTTAAGATGTGACTGTTCACACGGGGAGGTGCTAGTGTAAACTCGTCACCTAGCTTTGAATGTGAAGTTTGTGACTTTCTTAGAAACTCGTTAGGCAAGTGACATTTTGATTCCACTGATGAAGGAAAGTTCTTAAAAACTATCTTTGAATTGTTTTTAGTTTCTTCTAGTTTAAATCCAACTGAAAAATACGCATAGATGTGGCCGGCTGAAAGGTTAGAGCACATGCATTAATGACTCTCTTAAGGGGAGTTCATCGTGCTTTTTTAATATTTTTTTTTATTTTTTTAAAAATAAAAAATAAAAAAATAAAAGGGAACCAATCGTGGGTCATCACGTGGCGTGGAGCCCAGGAAACAATGATGACACCGAGTCATCCCAGAGAGTCTGCGTGACGCGGGTTCACCAAACCTGCATTAATTTATTATTTTTTCTTTTTGGGATCTGTGTGAACTTTCTCCTTGACCCTCTAATGTATATGCTCTTAGCGCGTTATGTTTTATTGTCTTATATTAGAATTGCAACACTTCAATTAGATGTACAGTCTGAACCAAACTTTTAGGTTTTTGGTTTTAATTTGAATGAACTATTGACCTCTAGAGTGATGGGTACTCTTTGTTTTTATATCCGTTTTGGTTTGATTTGGTTTAAGAACTTTAATGTGTTGTCGGATTTAGATTTTATGAAAAATCGGTCAATTCACTTCTTAGAAACGTACAATAACTTCACTAAAGTTATCGAATTTAGAAGCTTGAGACAATTTTTGGTTATGTTGATGGTGTTAACTTAGTTTATAGTAGTTGTTTACATATAATTTGTAAATACTTCATATAGTTGGCAATTTTTTAATATATAATAAGATGTTTTAGTAAGATTTTTCTTGTAAGTTCTATAGGTAAATAAAACAAATAGCAAAAAAACTATAAACGAAGAGAGTTGATATCCTCTTTCGAAATTTGGTTAGAGGAAACATAAACTTTAGTGAAGCTCATAACTAAAACATGTCTTAATACAATAATACTAACACTTTTAACACTTCTTTTCGAGTTTTTCTTGCGGATTTACCCTACCGACTACCTTTTTAGTACAAACAATATTTTTCCGTTTCACCATCACAGAATATAATATGTAGGTGGGTGACAAATGTCGCGAAACTAACACGTTCACAATTTCATAGTGACTGCTGGTGGAGAATGATTTTTTCTTAATTTATTTGGGTGCAGTTATGAATTATTAATGAGTAAATTAGGTGTAAAACCATGAAAGATGTGATAATTAAATATATGCCATAAACAGTATGCTGTCGACAAAGTTGTATAAACTGGAGTTTGGTTAATGACGGCTATGCCCTCTTTGTTTGCAAAATTTAGTTCAATCTGTGTAGGTATGTAGGGTTTTAATTACTAGGATTTTATATAGATTTTGTACAGATTTTCTAAAGATATTATTGAGATTTTAGAGGATTTCATCGATAAACAAAAAAAAAAACAATCTTTATACCCTTAACCATTTAATGAAAATCTCAAATAAATCATTCCCAAGCAATCAAATCTAAACAAAAACTCCCCCATATGGATCAGTGAACCCATAGATAAATATTTAAATTCTATATGTTTCAAATTCGAAAAAAGTATTTCGAAATCGTTTTTAATTATATTTTGATGATTTTCGGAACATTGTCATATATCTGTTTAGTTGGTTACCTTGGTTGCACTGCTCAAATCCAAACACATTGTCAACCGAAGTTGTACATCTAGAACTTTCGATTAGCTGGTTAATATCCTATTTCAATGGCTACATATGACAGAATAATATTCTCCACTTTGACAGAAGAAGATTCACAAATCTGTCTATAAGATATGCATGTAATACAGTTGTCGGATTATAGAGGTATTTATGTCCTATGAGAAAGTGCTTGGATATCGCACAGTGTTCGTTTGGTATATCCCTAAATACTGAAAAATCGGTTGGTATAGCTCCTAATTTCTCATCATTAATCCAGATTTTTTGTCAGCTTATTGGAAGACAAAATATGTTACTACAACTTAATTGGAACTTATATATGGTGGACATAATATTCCACTTGGTCTGCCCGTTCTATTGCATGCCTTTGTTTTTTATTATTACTCTCGATAATCATCCAACCAAGTCTCTTCCTCATTCGGTAACCACTGCCATTATCCATACTTTACTCAATGTTTCAGCCCAATAATGTTTCGTTTTTTGGTCATCTCTATAATATTATTTGAGAAGTCAGTTTCCTACGTGTCGCGCTCACGTTAACTCTCGCGATGGTTGATTACATAAATACCCTTAATGAATTGTTAGATTTTAAGATTATTATTAATTTTTTATTTAGTTTCCTTTTTACTTTTTTCCAAAAAATATATATAATAAAAAGAAAATATTTCTAAAATTGTAAAAAAAAAATTTAAAACGAAAATATAAGTATATAATATGACTTTAGTAAAAAGGAAAGTTCACAAAATAGTAATACCCCATTAATCTATATTTTTAAATAACATAAAATATATATTCAAAATAATAAAAATATATATATTCATAAATATTCAAAAATTACCAGTTACAATTTAATTTTTTTTTGTAGAATTTATATATATGCATGAGACGTCAAAATATTATCATTATATTCATTTATGTAATTTTGAATCAAACACTTCAGTTTATTATTTATTTCATCGTAAGCACAATACATATTAAATTATACATAATTTAACTATAATATATTTACATATCTAAGACAATAACCAACCGAAATGAAAATAAGAAAATTAATCAAAGTTTTATTATATTTAGAATAAAAATATTATAGCTGAATTCTAAAAATATATATTATCCAATATACCAAATTGATAACCATAATGACTATTGATCCAAAAAATAATTAAACTGACAATAATAGATCCATAGTGATATGTATAATTAGAACAATATAATATTTATTAATATAAATTATACATATAAATTTATTCAAAGCTAAAATTAAATATCAATCAGTTATTATAATATTTTATTTTTATGAATATTTATACACGTGCATAAGCACGGGAATATCATCTAGTTATAATAAAATTGAATGCATGAATGAACCACAATCGTAAAATGAACCGGATTCATAGAAAGAACGTTGAATCTTCATTATTGACCCGGTCAAGTCATAATTTTAATTAAATTTTTTTAATTCTACCAACAAGATCAAGATCAAATCTTTCAGGAACAAACAAATATTTTATTTTAAGAAATCAATGTATTATAATCCTTACACTTACTTTCAAAAATATCAGTGACTTGACTTGTCATATTCCGGTTTCAAACTCTTATCCGTTCCTAGTCTAGTACTACACCAAATACTATTCATGATCAGTAAGTAGCTGGAAATAACCTAGAGTCAATTAGCCAAAAACCCAAAAAAATTAGTAATTTGCAAACTACCTAAAATAGTAAATCTGTATAGTTAAAGGACATGCAAAATTACATAAGAAGCCTTGACAATATATTGTCCGTACCAAAATGGTAGTCTATTTTATTTTTAATAAACCACATAAAACTAAACAAAAAAAATCTTCTTCTCTTTCCTTCCATTGTCATCGTCTCTTTTCTCCATTTTCCCTCTATACTTTTTTATACTTCTTATGTATCCAAACAAAATTGAATAAGGTTAAATCTACAACATACACAATCTTTTGATCATATTTTACTATTCAATGAAGATTCACGAAATCAGCTATTTTTACATTTCATGATATTTCTACGCCTCTCCTAGTACCTCGTCAATTTTTCAAGATCTTTCTCTTTTTTGATCATTTTATTTCTTTGTTATCTCCGACAATATTAACAATCTTCTATGATTGGTTTATTATGTTTTGAGGAAAATCTACTTAGAAATAATTTTCTGAGATTTCAATCAAAACTTTAAAATCTGAAACACTGGGGGACAATTAATGACAAGAACCAAGAAGGTAATTTTTTATCAATAGTTTTTGCTATTTAGATGTATAAATATAATGTTAAACGGACAAAAAAATATGTTACCCAAACTACAATATATATTGGACGGACGAGAGGAAAGACGTTAAGGTGAACTACTTGCTCAAATTGATTAGGGAAGAACACATGTTCTCAACCAAGGAGATGTTATACTGATGCGGCAGCAACATGGAAGCCTAGCACATGTAAAGAGAACTGGGATTTTGGAAAATTATGGTATTTTATCTAGAATATATTTTGGTTAAAGTGATTTAGTGAACTACCATTATTTGAAGTTCAAATTAGGCAAATACCATTGATTGGACATGAATGACACTGACACAACCATTTGGCAAGGAAATGTCGAGAATACCCTTTCTCTTTCCTCTCATTAACACGAAGCGTAAAAACATTTGTTAACATATAACACTTCCGTTAACATCTACAATATTTGTTAACAGGCAACACATTTATTACCGCGAAGCGTAAAAATAATTGTTAACGTCTACAATATTTGTTAACAGCGAACATATTTATTAACGCGAAGCATAAAAATAATTGTTAACAACTAACACTTCTGTTAACGTCTACAATATTTGTTAACCGCTAACACGACGTCGAATCTAAAACCCAGAAAATTGATATCATCAAAAAAATGAGGATTCAAAGCCACTTATGAAAAAAATAATGAAATTTAAAATTTAATTGTATGTACTTCTCCCATATCAACACCAAATATGGGTACTTCTCTAACGTCTACAATATTTGTTAACAACCAACACATTTAAAAATTATATATTTTTAATAGAGGTGTTATGTATTAACTGTTAACAAATAAGTATCA